TCACCATTAAATTTATAATATTTCTGAAGGATTATGATGAGCAATTTTTAATTGTGAAAGTTTTCATGTTATTTATTACAACAGTAGCCAAATGATCATTTGATCCATGATAGCCAAGTACCTGTACGCAAAACATGTCTATCTTTTCTTCTTGAATGCAGTAAAAGATTTGTCCATAATTTTCAATAGTTAAATTATGCATCTATTAATGTGCAACAACATAAGAAGCAAAATATAGAAGTTGGAGATTAACCCAGGGTATAACGCCTTCTTTATATTTGGGGTGTTAATTTAATATTAAAAGTTATCAATACAGAGATGATGATAGTTGCAATAACTTCAGATGAGGTTTATCCTGGTTATGATTAATTTCTCTGTATTTTCACCACTACAGACTGTCATTTGATCCAATGATTGAAAGTTTTTTTTAACATTGTCTTAAAGGTCTATCAGTGCTTTTTTTGTGGTGAAAAAAAAAGTAAAATCACAAAAATACTGAACGCTGAGGAAAAGTCAAAACGGAAAGTCCCTAATCAAATGGCAAAATCAAAAGATAATGAGTAATTGCATTTTTTTTGGTTGTTCGTTAAAAAAAAAAAGATGTCATTTAAATTAAAATTTCAGATTTATGATGAAAATTTTCCTAAGACATTTAAATTAAAATTTAAGATTTATAGTGAAATAATAATTTTCCTAAAATTTTTACATTTTCAAAGCATTGTAGTTGTCAGATTATAGAATAACATAGTACTTGAAATTGATTTAAACTCGTAGTCTAGTGCATGCAAAGTTCCGAAGCAATACATTCTTTATCTTCAGAGTTTTGGTGTAGACTTAACAAATATCAAATGATCATTTCAGAAATACATTATGCTTGGAGCGCTGCGTGTCTTTACTAACATATAACAAAGTTGTTTATTGGTGTTTAAGTAGCAGGGTTGGTTATATCTTCTGTTTGTTTCAGTTGTTCTTTGGATGGTTCTTTGGTTTTGAGGTATTTAGGGTGTGGTGTTTACCATTCGAAGGAATCTATATATGTAATTCTGAAATGAAAAATATTTGATATTTCTAGTCGTAAAAAAAATAATCAAATGTTTGAGCATAAAGCTGCTTGGAACTTTGAATCTGTACGATTTTCATACTTTCTTTAATTTCGTATTTTCAAAATTAAAAATGAATATCTTCAATCAAAATCAAAATCTAAATTGTATTTGACATATTATGATGTATTGGAAATGGAAAACTAGATAATATATTCTCCTAAATTAAGTTGAATTCAGGGGCAGTGGAAAATGATCCCAAAAGTTTTTTAGATATACTTTATCTTCTTCAAAATTGTTTCTGGGTATCTACATCTTTAAAGCACTGATCGCTATTAAGATAATAAAGAAGTAAAAATACATTTTTATAACAGTTAAGCCATAACGAAAATTCAGCCATACAAAAAAGAATTTGGATGTTTAATCTACATTTATTATAGAGTTATAATCATAATCTAGTAGAAAGATATGGAAAGTATCTCTAGAAACTAAAGCTGCACATGCCATTGTCAATGTAAATTTCAACGTCGTCATAAGCAAAATAGCGATAAACAGATTATCATTGGTCATCTCAACTTGATTGTTTTTCTCCCTTTCGTGGTACCGGCTCAAGGGAGAAAATCAATCTTGTTGAGATGACCAACGAAATTTATAATGATTTCCAATACCCTAAAAATTTCATTTTGAGATATCTGAAACTATCATCATCTCCAAGTGAAGAGTTATCTAACTTATCAATACTGATATCTTACAGTAGTTATCTCCCTTTGCTTCAAGCTTCTCAACCTTGGGTTAATTTTCAACTCTCGCCTTCAACACTAGGTTTTCATCACAGATTCCAGACATTTAATGATAACTTCATTATTATGAGACCATAATTGACAACTGGTATTAATGTTTTAATTTTACTTTGTTAGTCCCATTTAACAATTGCTCATCGTAATTTGTAATTTAAATTAAATTGTCTTGAGTTTAAGCATTTCTTTGTAAAAATTTCCTGTTTAATAGAAAATTAATCTTTTCCCAAGCCATTCTGTGATCAATATATTAAAGGATAATTTTGTCCAGCTTCTTGAAACAATTTTTCTTTTTTGCAATCAAAAGTATTGACAGTGAGCAGGATCATTTCAAGATCACAAAAAAGGAGCTGAAAACTGGTCTATTTTATTCTATTTATCATGTGGACATGAAAAGGAGTAGATTATACAACACAAAATTTTCAAATTTCAAATCATAAGTTTGTTGAAATATAGCTCATTTTATACAATTTAGATCTTTTATTGAAAAAGGTATTAGACTGATCTTAACCCTATCATACCGTTTGAATTACAACATAAATTAATTTGCTCCTTGGTATCAAAACATTCTATCTTTTTCAAATTTGGTAATTACAATATAGGTAAAGCACTTGCCATCATAAAATACTTTAAAAAAATAAAATAAGTAAAACCCAATTATCAATAACTGACTGCAGCTATTCTTCATTGGATCCTTTTTGAAACTCATGGCCAGACAAAGAGTAATCTAAGAGCTTGACTCTTTAACAGGGATCCAACTTTAGCCTCATTAAGTTCAAAGGAGTTTTCCATTAGTCCATAATGATTAAGAAATAATTGTTGCAAGCTATACTTTATTGTAGTTTTAACATGGGTAGGCATTATATACGTGATTATTTTTGCCTGAGCGATAGCTTACAATCAGTTCTGTTAGCCAAGCAGTTGTAGATTTATATTAGACCCTGTTTCAGAGTTTGGGGATTTAATCACTAAAAAAGTTAAAGATAACCAGACTATTTTAGATTTAACTGGTAATCTGTTTTCTTTTCCCAGCTGATTCCTGTAAGTCTGTATATTGACTGCTTCTGGTTCTTATCCATTTAAGGAACCAATGATTCCGGAGAGTGCAGTAACCTTGCCTCAGTCCATTATTGTCAAGATATCAGTGATTTTCCTTTTTTTCTGACAAAAGTCATTGGAAGTAATCTTACATAAAACAAATTTTGATATAACCAATCAAAAATGCTTTCATAAAAATAATCTGGGAACAAACAATTTTACTTTTTCAATTGTAAATTTTGCTACTATTTTTCTTTCAAGTATAAAACTAAAGTAAAAAGTAAAAATCTATTTTATTGAAGTATTACGTGCCATTTGAGTTTTGAAATTAATTTAAATTATAAAGTATTGAAATTAATTTTTATTATAAAGAATCAGTATTTATATCATTTCTTTGAGTTCTTAATTTTTTCTTTCTAAATTTTTTATATTAAATCTAAAGATTTCATACTTGATACATGTAATATCATTTTGCATCATATTTGTATTTTTTCATTTCAGCTTCTTTTTCTTGTACCACTGAAACTTCACAGAATAATTGCGTACATTTTGAAGTTGTGTACCTGCTTATATGAAATTGTTTGAGGAATTTCCCCCCATTTTTCCCTTAATTCTGATCTTGATGATTGTTTTCCAAAATTTTCAAAGATAGTACTGATTTTGTGTAATCAACTCCTGAAGTTTTCAATCTCAATCTTTTTAACTTCACACAATGATTGTACAAATATTTAAGTTGTCCACTTGGTACTATGGAATTGTTTGATAATTTTTTTCCTGACTTGGGAACTAAGTAATTTTTCATCAAAGGTAAAATAAATAGTTTTAACCCATATCTTTTGGAATTTACAGAGAGTTTGCAAATCTATAGAGGCTTTTACAAATTTTGGGACTATACATGACTACTATGTTCAAGTAAACCTTGAAAATGAGATATTTTTGATTAAACTATGCTTCAAAATATTTTTAAAATGTTGATTTATATGTGTTTATTATACTATTACTACACTGCACTTTTTTTCTTACATTTGTATAAGTATTTTCATATCAGATGTCTGGTAACTTATATAAAAGCTATTATCTAGGGCTCTGTAAATAAAAAAAATGTAAACATACATGTAGTTCTAAAATATACTTTTAATGAGTGGAAGAAATTGTGGGGTACAGAATACATTTCATAAATTATCAAAATACAAGTTACCTGTTTAAAAGCATGTCTGGTATTTTTACAGTACTTTTTAAATGAATTTAATAAATTATTTGTATTTTAAATTGAGAATTTCTTCAGTTTCCATGATTGGAAAAATAATGTGAGATGCCTTGGAACATTCTGGTGACTATTGTACATTTTATAATCTACAATGGAAAAGATTAGATAAAATGGATTCAGTGGACTGATTAGCATAAAAAACTATGATGGAAAACCTTTGAAATCAGCCAGGATAGCAGCTCCAAGGGAGATGGTCAAATAAATCTTCAACCAAGTCTGAGGCTTTACCAAGAAATTAAGAAGGCAAGTTTATTTAAGCCAAATATTTGTATACATTTTCTAGAAATATTCGACAAAAAGTGCATATTAAGACAACACGCCAGCACCCTTCTGATCTTCTGCATGCAAAACACCATTGATGTATTAATTTTAATGAGTTTTATAATTTAAGTTACCATTTTCTTGAACAAGATTTTCGATCAAAATATTTAAAACTTCAAGGGGAGACAAGTACAATTAACAGCAAGATTTGTTCATTCAATAGGATATAACTGTTAAATTTGCACATCACTTTTGTGCAGTTAAATTCCAAACAAAAACCTTTGACTTGTTTTATTTTTATTATGTCAAGTTTTCTGTTTAGTCAGGTTAATAGTTACTCCTTGCTATAGATCAATGACATTTTGTATTTATTTGCATTACTAACAAATTATCAAATTAATTAGCAATGTTGCTAATCATCAGATGTTTTTCATTTTCCGCTGCTAGGCGAGACATCTCTGTCAACAGTTTATCTTACAAACTTGTGTTGATACTATTATGTACATTTTGTAAGAAATCAGAACATTATATAGTGACTTTATATTTATAGAGAAATGGATTTGTAAAATATATAATGTGTCTTTTTTAATTCTTTTTAGGTTCTTCTGTGATATGTTTTCATGGTGTGGGAATAAGACTTGGTGGTCTAATACAGCTAATATGAAGGTATGTACCAGTATGTTAGTCCTGTTTTGAAAAAAAGAAAAAGTATTATAAAATGTATTTGGAAATAGCATGTGCTCTAATCGTGAAGGTTTGTAGGAGTTTGGTAAGAAGTCTTTGCTTTCTTTAGTTGCCTTTAAAGGAGTGAATTTAATTATCTGATTTGATTATGTAAAAGTTTGTTGGGATGCTGATTTGCTGTTCTCAACTTCTATTATAAATTTATAGACTTATTTCATTTGCCACTGGACATTTAGCAACCAACAATCAAATGAATCATTCAAAATATGGAATATACATACAGTATATCAAAAATGATACTTATAAACAATCTTCAATGACTAATCATTTTATTTTTCAGGTTAGCATCACAGCTTGTCTGTAAAGATTGAAGCTGGGAGTGGGCATTGGAGCTGACTTTTATGGTAAGAGCCAATACAAAAAAAACAATATGTAAAAAAAGAAATATGTTAGACATCTACCATTGACTTGTTTTTCATCCTTTTCTGCTAATAAGACTGGTAGTTCAACAAATATATCAGCAAATCACTTTTAAACAAAGTAAGAGAAAGGTTTTATGAATCATGATTATAATGACCAGTTATTTATTATTTTGCATTTGATATTGTTTCAATTTTCAGATTTTGACAATTACATTTAATTCTGTATATTTCTTTTTCAGGTAACTGTGGCTGCATAAAAGGGCTATGTGATTTTACTGTAAAGTAAAGAATGTAATTCAGACTATTTTTGTGTATGTTTGAGAAAATGTTTATAATTTTTACAAAAAGAAAAAAAAAATTATGTACAGGTTCTCCATTTTCAACAAGATTGGAAGTTGTAGGTTAATAGGTCTTTGAAATTTCAAAAATTACTTTCTATTTTCTGTTCATACTCATGTCTAGGCAAAACACTTCCAGTAGTTTAAGAATGGAGAATCTAAAAAAAAAAGAAAAGAAAAAAAAAAAAAAAAAATGTTCAATTATTGAAATGTTTTTTATTTTTGCAAATTGTAATGTTTTTTCACCTTTGTGTCATTTTTAGCTGAGTTTATAACGAAGGGTATATTATTTTAAGAATATTTTACAAGAAGCATAGTTGAAGAATATCTTGATGAAAGTAGATTGATTGATTTTTGGTATTTAACACCACTTTCAGCATGATTTGCTATATCTGGGCTGCCAGTTTTTATTTGTGGAGTCAGCCTGGTGAAAACATCCCCTTCAACAGAGAAACTGGCAACGCTAGTCAATTAAGATTGATGTTAAACACACCTACAATGTGAGGGTTCAGAGTGTTGACAGGCTAGTTTACGTGAAATTTTTCAAAATGTTTATTAATTGAAAGTGAATCTGATATTTTTTATGTATGTTACTTTATTTTCTAAAAACAAATGGACACAACATAGATTGACAATAAGATATTGAGAAGAACCACCTTGTCAGCCAGGATAGCAGCTCTTAGGAAGATGGTCAATTAAATCTTCAACCAAGTCTGACTTTTTACCATGAAAATAAAAAAGGCAAGTTTTTTTTAGCCAGATCTTTTAAGATAACAGACCCTTCTGAAATATTGCATTTAAAACACCATTGATGAATTAATTTACCAGTTTAGTATTTAAAGATACAAGATACATGAACTAGATTTTCTATTGAAATATTAATAGTAAATCCTAAAAATAGTCATTAAACTTCAAGAAAAGACCAGTACAATTTAAAACACAATTTTGCATTAAATGGGAGATAACTTTGTAAAATATTCAGATATTTTTTGTGCAGTTAAATTTAAATCTGACGTTTTTCTACTTTTCTATCTTTTATATTGATTAAAAAAAATGATTTTATACAATTGTCTACCTGCAATAAGAAATCAGAATAATATTTAGTAAATTTTAGGTTATGGTAACACATAAATTGATTTACAAAATGTATAATGTGTTGATTATAATTTCATTTCAGGTTCTTTCTGAGATGTTTTCATGGTGTGGGAATAAGACTTGGTGGTCTTATATAGCTAATACAAAGGTATGTACCAGTATGTTAGTCCTGTTTTGGAAAACTCAAATGTATTATAAATATTTTATGGAAAAACAAGATTTGAACGCTTAAAAGATTTTTTACAGGAATCTACTCTTATTATATCAGTAACCAAATAAGAGTAAAGTTTAGGATCTGAATTGTTTACATAAAAATGTGTTGGCTTGTTGGATTGCTGTCTCATCCATATGTTGTTGACATATATAACACATTTTAAGACTATTTCTATTTAATGATTTGCCACTGGACCTTAAGCAACCAACAACCAATCATTCAATCTATTCAATATACATACATAATACCAACAAAGAACCTTTTAAACAGTTTTTATACGCCCGTTTACGGGACGTATTATGGTATACTGTTGTCTGCCCGTCCGTCGTCAACATGTTGGACATTAACTCAAAAACGCTTTAACCAATTTGCATAAAACTTTGGTGAATTGTTTATATCGATTGACGTGAGCTCCCTTTTGTTTTTTATAAATTTTAGATTTTACGTTTCCAAGTTATGGGGTTTTATTCATTAAAAAAAGGGGAGTTTTCCAGTTTTCGAACAATAACTCAAGAATGCTTTCACCAACTTGCAAGAAATTGTGGTGAATTATTTATATCTATTGACATGAGCTCCCTTTCGATTTTTATAAATTTTAGATTTTACGTTTCCGAGTTACAGGGTTTTATTAATGAATTATCATTTTATATTTCAGGTTAGCATCACAGCTTGTCTGTAAGGATTGAAGCTGGGAGTGGGCATTGGAGCTGACTTTTATGGTAAGAATCAATACATAGATTTATGAACTTTTCATCCAAGAGCATTTTAAAGCCCAAGATTTTTGTTAGGCACAGATGTAAATCTTACATATTAATGTCTTCTTTACTTATAGTTGAATAAACAATTTAGAAGGAGATATAAAGATATATAAGGGTAGTCAAAAAGTATAATGTATAATGCGAAATCTTGGGATTTCAAGTTTTTTTTATCTATAGTTGTCCCCATATATGAAAATATGTAAGTGTGGTATGTATGCCAATGAGACAGCTATCAACAAGAGACCAAATGATGTGGATGCAACTAAATGTCACCCTATGCCTTTAACAATGAGCAAAACCTATATTGTATAGTTAGCTATAAAGGTTCAACATGACTAAATGTTAAAAATTCAATCAAGTACCGTAGAAAGGCTTGTATAGTTCGCAGTGGTACATAGTCCGCACCCCCTTCTCCCAACGAAATTTTAGGTAAAAAAACTTTTTGTAACTGTTAGAAAAGGTCTAATGAAACTCCGGTAATTTCAAATCCTGTGCGGTCGTTTGCAGTATTTTCTTGGAAAAACCTGTTTTCCATCATCAAACAGAAGCTGAAACTGCTTGTAAATGATTCTAGAACGCTTCATGATTGTTAAAATAAGTTTAATTCACTTAAAAAACAATTTAGAAACTTGTGTATGTTTAAACAGGAAGTTTAAAAAGCACGTGTAAAAGAAGAAATTAACCGGTGGGAGTCGAAATCCGTACATAACAGATATCACTATAATACGACTTTGAAAGTAAAACAGTTCCATCCTTTTGTAAAACAGTCTTTAATATATCTATCACATTAATGTATGAAGGGTCTTAAGCTAATACAAACCATATTAGTCAGTATGAAACACCAAAACGGAACGAACAATAACCGATTACGTTTTGTAGTTTACAAATTCTGAGCTGGTTTATGGTTGTCTTTTTCACTATGTTTGTATCGTTTCAATCAAGCAGATACCAGTTTATTTCAACCAATGCATTGAAAAGAAACGAGAAATTTGTAATGAAAGGTTTAGTTTTTATATTTATCAGTATTAATTTGATATTGAATAGAAATAACTTATTAATATGGATGAGTTAAAATTATTAGTTTGAAAAATGATAAGAGCGCCCTCTACCATAGAAATAACAAAGATGGCGGAACGTAAACAAACCACCTCGACCGCGAAATTGAAATTTTTCTCTTATTTCTTGCTTATTGTACTCTATAGTCCGCACCCCGTCTGGAAGGTCCAATTTTGGAGAATAAAACCGTGGACTATACAAGCCTTTCTACGGTATGTTAATAGCCTGATATACTATATATAGCTATAAAACAATGTTACAAAGATATTTGTCAAGACATCAGCCAATGGCTTGTTTTTCATGCTTTTATTGCTAAGATTTTTACTGGTACTTTAAAATTTATGTCAAAAAATCACTTTATAACAAAGAAAAAGAAATGTTCTATACATTATAATTGTAATGCTCAGTTAATTATAATTGTTTTGCATTAAACATTATTTCAATGTTCATGAGTAATGTATATTTCTTTTTCAGATAACTGTGGCTGCATAAAATGGTTGTGTGATATAACTGCAACAGTAAAGAATGTAATTCAGACTATTTTTGTGTATGCTTGAGAAAATGTTTATAATTTTTTTACAAAAAAAAAAAAAAAAAAATATGTAAAGATTACCCATTTTCAACAAGATTGGAAGTTGTAGGTTAACTTGTATTTGACATTACAAAAATTCTTTCTATTTTCCTTTTATACTCATGTCTAGTCAAAACACTTCGAGCAGTTTAAGAATGGATAATCTAAAAGAAAAAGAAAAAAAATGTTCAATTATTGAAATGTATTTTTTTTTTGCAAATTGTAATGTATATATTTTTGCCATCTTTTTGTTATTTTAGGATTTGAGATACTTTCAAATTTTACAAGTTACTTTATACATGTAGTTAATGCAATTAAATCTGCCGATGTGAATATTCCCACTAAATTTCTTAGCAAAAATTTTAATTATTTTTGTTTTTTTTAGCAACGTTTCAAAATACCTTACCATAGCAAATGCGTCTCTAGTGTAAACTAAAAAGATGAATAATGGTCTGCAGTAAATATATCCCCTTACAACCTTTTCTTTCATGTTAATTTTAATATCTTTAAGATATGTGACAAGGGTGCAGAGGAATTTACGAAGTTGAGAAGTTAGAAATATATTTTTTGCACTTTTTTTGTCATTTTTAGCTGATTTTGGTTTGTAACCAAGGTGATATTTTTTAAAGAATAATTTTACAAAAGGCATAGTTGAAGAACATCTTGTTGAAATTGGATTGGTTGATTTTTGGTGTTAAACACCACTTTAACATGATTTACTATAATTTTGGCTGTAAATTTTTATTTGTGGAGACAGCCAGAGTGCCTGGTGAAAACATCACCTTCATCAGGGAAACGGGCAAACCCTAGTCAAATTAAGAATGAAGTTGCACATTTCATGTGAGAGTTCTCAGTGTTGACAGGCTAGTGATACAGTAGTTGAACTACTTATAGGACCACTCTGCCACCATAAGTCGATCAGTACGAAATATTTTATTGAAATGTGTTAGATTTTTGTTATCATTCTATTTTTTTAATTTTAATTGTACTATTTTATTTATTTTGTTTAATATAACAACGATGTGGAGTCCGAACAGGATGAAATTTGGGTCAAAGGGAGGCAATTTATTATACCCCTGTTTAACTCCACATACTTGAAATTCCCTCAATGTTAGGATTTTCATCTACTTGGATATTCATGTTTGTACATTTTTTTTAATATCAGATGTATACTAGCTAATATTGACTATTATTTAGAGCTCTGTAATAAAAAAAAATAAATGTAAGCAGAGCTCTAGATAATAAGTATGCAGGGTGGGAGAAATCTTGGGTCATTAACAATTGATTTGCTGAAATTTTCAAGAAAGGGGATTTATTGGAAATGCATCTGATATATTTAATGTATAAAACTATATTGAAAAAAAAGATGTTAATATGATGAGGAGAGCCACCTTGTCAGCCAGGAGAGCAGCTCTAAGGGAGATGGTCAATTTAATCTTCACCAAGTCTGAGGCTTTACCATGAAAAATATGTGGTAAGTTTATATATTCCACAAATTTTATGGTAATATATATATAGGCATTTAACATTATTTTTTAAGGGTTCTTTTCTTATAAGTGAGCTGTGTTGGATAGAAACCAACTGTATGCAAGTTATTATCAATGAATTTGTAAACTTATTTGGGTCGAACAAATTTTTATGCAAAGTCTGTAACTGTTTGAATATTGAATTGATATAGAATCATTTTCATAAAAGCGTGGACAAGACGATTTCTTGGCGCTCTTATGTTATCTATTGACTGGGTCAGATAAGGTGAAAGTTTGTAACGCCCACTTGTCACATAGAATGTGTTAATTATAGACATTTAAACTCGGGTCGCCAAATGTTCTAAATGCCTACATCAAATAGTACGAATTACTAGCAGAGGACTAAGCCTTGTGTGTTGATTTAAATGTTGAATAATTATTTTCTTTTTTTCTTCTCTTGTGCCTACATGTACTTTGCTCTTTTATTCTATTTAAATCCCTATTGGAAGGCCTCTGACAGACTGAGTGAGCGTAAAATCACTGTTATCAATAGCCAATGGCAAACAAGTTAAAGGTACTGTAAATTCAGAAATTATTGCGTGCAATTATTAATAAATAAATTTGGTGTATTTACTGTCTTCTGATTGGTTAAAAGTATTACTTTTATTTTCAATGTTGTCAATTTTTATGGCGAGACACCCACTCAGACGTTGTATATTCATACGCCAACATCCATGTACGTTATGGTTAATATAAATAATATAAAAAGTCCTTTGAGCCTTATTTTTGATAGAAATTTATTTATAATGAATGGCTATAATTTATTTTGAATTTATTGAACCATAAAATTAATTTTTGACTCTTCACATTTTACATAATCCGCTACGTGGATTATTCAATGTGAAGAGTCAAAAATTAATTTTATGGTTCAATAAATTCAAAATAAATAATAACCATTCATTAATTGCGATTTTGTAATTTTAGACTAAAATGCAATTTTAATTTTTGCGATATTGAGAAAAATCCTGTTTAATTCATATAAAAAATTTCAAAATGCTAGTTTAAATTATTGCCAATACAACCATGTTGTATTTTTCGCAATAATAAAAACATTGCAATAGTTTCTGAATTTACAGTAATTGAGTTAGTATTATTACCAACGTAAGTATTGGGATTGTCTACGCTGTTATGAAAATGATTTTAAGAACCATCAAAAGAGAACAAAACCATCCGATTTTGTAATTGAATATTCCAAAATCATTATCTTATACATATACGTGCACTTGCACAAGGTCAATTTCTATCTCTAGCAGTTTAAAGTTTATATAGTGAAGATGATAATGTATAACAGGTTTTAATAAATGAAACATAGCAATATTTTGTTAGTCTTCTTAGAGACAGATTGATCTGTAAAATAAGTAATTATTTTTTTATTTTTTTTATATTTAGGTTGTTATAATGATGATGTTTTCATGGTGTTGGGAGTAAGACTTGGATGTCTGATATTGTTAACATGTTGGTAGGTAATCAAGCATCTTTTAAGTAATATAATATTTGAAATCAATTTCATAAGGTTCTTTAGTACCAAAACAATAATTTTACACTGATGAGATACCAGTTGAATTTTTTTGGTAAATATAAAACAGTTTATAATTCAAAATACCAAATGTTTTTTCCATGATTTTTTGTTATCCTAGTGCAATTTTAAATTTAGTACATGTGTAATAATTTTTTTTAGGAAAGTTTAGTATGACTACTTTTATATTCCAGGTTAGCATCAGGTTTCCATTGGGTTACTTGCTGGGATAAAGCTGTTATAAGGTGAGAACTTATTCATCAACATACAACTTTAATGTGTTTATGTTATAGTGTGATGAATGTCACTAAATAGATTTCAATATATATATATTTTTTTAATTTACAATTAAAAAAAACAGTATTCAATCTTTTCATTTTAAAATAATGTACCCTTTAAAGCAGATACTAGATCTGAAGAAGATATATGAAGGGGAGATAACAATAAAATCGGATATTTTTGATACTATATATTTTTGAGATCAATATAAGTAATAAATTGTTTAACATACACTGATGTCTCTTTCTTTATTCCCATTAGATTATTTTAAAATTAAGAATCAACAATTGAAATTTAACTTTGTTTCTTTTTCAGTCCAAAGAGTTGCTGTTCTGCTGCCTTCCTTGTATGGTAAAATCCTCAGACTACAATCCTGCAAACCATTGGATGAACTGTTGCTATCTTTTGTAAAAAAAATCAGCAGATATTTGTCTTATAAGCAGAATGAATTATAAATGCAATTAATTTTTAATGCTTTATTATTCAAATTATAAATATTTATTTCATTATTTTTTCTTGCATTCAATTATTGTTTTGTGATTGAAGAAATATAAAAAAAACCTGAAATTATTGTTATTTGAGAGGTCCCAAGGGTATGATGTATGGTTTCAAAAGATACCCATAAGACTTGCTTCAGTTTACATATATTTTTTAAGTTATGTACACTGGTTAAAAATTATAAGTCCTTTGTGAAATGATTTTTTTCTGGTTAGTAACCTATTAAGTAGGACTTTGATGGCCAAACACTAAAAGGGAATAAAACAAATCCCCTATTAAACAATTAAGTACTGAGTTTTTGGTGCAATATGAACTAGAAATAAAAATGTTTAGTTAGATGGTTTGTTTTGACTCTGCATTCTTTACATTCATACAAATTAATGGCTGTCAGTTTTATTTATTGGTTTTGTTTATATATTATAAATGCATTATTCAGCATCTGAGACCACTCAAGTGAAAATAATTACATAGTTTTTGCAGTTTGTCATATTTTCTCATTTTTGTGTGATTGATTTCTATATTTTTTCTCATTTATGATTATTTATATTTTAATGTTTGATTTTTGAGGCTTGTACTCAGCTTCTAAACAATTACCTCCCACCTCCACATGTATAACCAGGATCCTGTAAAAGAAGTTTTGATTTTGAAGGACTGATGGATAATTAAAAATGCAAGATTTTTTTAATGTGCTAGTTCATAATGTAAAAGTCTGCACAAGACATCTAACCCTACCTGAACACATTATTCCGACTTCCAGCTGACCAGTCTTTGCTCCTACTCCTAATTGCTGAATGCTTAGCAGGGGAGCATCAAATACCAATTTTCAATTCTTTGATATGACCCAGGGCAGGACCAAATCCCATGCCCATCTGCACTCATGTTGAGCATAAAAAGGTTATTAAAGAAGATTTGTCTGTCTGTTTGTCCATCATCATCTCTCATCCACAGCTTATAAACTATTGGAAAGTTTTCATTTAAACTTTCAGATTATCTTTTGTATCTAATGGCTGTGTGTATTTTATTTTATTATAATGAAATTTTGGGGTTTTCAATTGTAATGAATGGACCTCCTAAGTATTTGAAAAAAGGGAAAGAAGCTTCTCATACCACCATTTTATCATGTGAAGGATAGGTTGGTTCAAATATATTTATTTTTAATCATGTTTTTAGTAGTTGGATCTCATTATGACAAAATTTTAATGACTTAAATTCAAAATAGATTTGGGGTTCACACTGATATATATTACCACTGTAGCTTAAATGTAAATTTTATAAGGCTTTGCTATAACAAGATTTGTGTTTTATAATGTTTTATCTGATTTTAGTGGTTTTTATGTGATTTTATTTGTTTTTACTATCATATCTTGTTATACCAAGCCTTAGTATGATTGAGTTTATATATTTTGTTTATACATGCTATTCAAAATATAAATTTACATAATGAGATCAGACATTTATTATGCTTTTAACTCTTCTTAGTGGATAAAATAGAAAAATGAATGAACATAAATATTGAAGTGGTCGTTGAAGATCGTTGAAGATTGACCAAATTACAAGATTTATAAATGCAGAATCTTGCTCTAACTAAATCTATGTTCTTATCAGCTGAACCAACCTATCCTTCAATATGAGTAATAAAATTTTATAAATGGAAAAGTCCATTCTTCGATTGGGGAACCTTTGGATGTGAAAAAAATATGCACAATGCCAACAGATACTGAAGATTATTTGAAAGTTTAGGCAAAAACAATTCAATCCTTTTAATTGTGATTGGAAGTTGTAGACGGATGAGCAAACAGATGATATACTTCTGACTATGGCACATTTCAAAAGGATATGGACTATGGGTATGGGTTTTGCTCATGGTTGAAGGCTGTAGGTGACTGATAGTTGTTAAATTCTATGTCATTTGGTCTCTGGTGGAGAGTTGTCTCGTTGGCAATCATATCTCCTCTTTTTATTTTATATGAAATAATTACTTATTACTTCCTGGGCAAAAAGTTCTGGTTCCAAGAAAGTAATAAAAAAAAATATTTATATCATACATGTATTGTTAACTATCCTACTAGTACTTTGATATAAAGAATTGACTTTGGTTAGAAATTGGAAGGAATTATATAGAAACTTTATATACAATATAAGAGCTTGGGGTTATAAATGTTTAATGAAATGCAGTTAACTATTTCCTTGGTGATCTAATAATTTTTGCACAGATCACGATATTAGTTTATTTAAATAACCCAGTAAATAAATTTGAGTACACCTCGTAAATGAATTTGATTCATGTATTTTTATGCATTTTTTATCTTAGTATTTACCATTGTATTCCTTGTTTTATTTGTAAATGCCGTATGTGACAAACTGAGGATTCATATATTTTATGGAATTATATAAATTTATTTTAAGTTTGGTATTTAAAAGTATTGGAAAGCACCAAGTTTAATATTGAGCAAAAAAAATATTCCTTTAAGACCTAAGGATATTAAAATTTAAGACATGTATCTCAGAACAGAATTGATTTTCTAAATTCTATTTAAACAGCTAGTCTGGGAACTGGAATCAAGAAACTAAAAAGAATCCTCAGCGCTGTCAGATATTTTGTATAATTGTAATATTTAACCAATGATACCTTACCCATGATGCAGATCCTTTTCCTCCTTTTACTTATAAAGGGACTAAACACTTATAATTATTACAATTTCTTTGGTATTTGTACACACTTGATGGAGCAGAATGGGTCTGGTTTCATTTGGGTATTTTATATTATGATGCTTGATAATGATATAAATAAATAGGTAAATAAAAATTTAATTGAGGAAACCTATCTTATATTTTATTTGAGTCTAAATGACAAATAAAGGGGGAAGAGGTTTCTGTGGTCAAGGGTAACACACAGCTGATTTATTGTATGGTATGGACGAAGTTGAAAAAGCGAGACTTGGGCATGCTTTTTCAATAAGCAGCAGCTTCAACAATGTATTTGATTGTGATAAGTTCAAGTTAAAGAAAACAACTAGTGGTAGATCAATGATATTTGGTTTGCAGTTATATAAGCATTGAAACATCTTATTTCTAAGGAGATTATTTTGCTTCTCTTCCTCAGTCATAGTCGACTTAAAACTTTTAATTAGTTTACATGTATAAGTTTGTGATTAGGTCAATTGAAAGTGAACTATAAGTGGTATGTCAATGATATTTGGTATACAGATGTATAAGCATTGACAAATCTCAGTTCCATAGAGATTGTTCAGCTCCAGCCTCAGTCATGGTTTAATGACTGAATGTTTTGCATTATTTACATGTGATTTGTGATTAGATCAGTTTAAGATGAGTGACTAATATCTGATATTTGATATGCAGTTGTATTGGCATTTGCAAGTCTCATTTTCATAGAGATTATTTGGTCCTACTTCCTTATCATGGTTCAAGGACTTTGAAACCTTCACAGTTTAACAAGAAACCAATTGATAAGTCAATGGTGTTGGGTATGCAGTTTTATAAGCATTAGCATTTCCATGGTGTTTTTATTTTGCCCTAAACCGTCAGTCATGGTTCATTGCATAGATAACAAGTTTAAATATTGCAATTTAATCTCAACATTTGCATTATACCACCAAAAAACGCAAGACATATCTCTGTGTCAACAGTTTATATTTCCATTTCTTGGTATCTTTCAACATCATGTTTTGAGTTTTAAATGTCACAGAAACTTCTTTGCTAGTTTAAACAAGACTTGACACAAATGATACTTAGGAATTACATGACAGAAATGTTCATTTGACTTGCTGATTACCTGATTGGCTGCCAAGTCTTTAAATAGATCTAGAATTCTAAAATGATCTAGTTTATATAAAGGCTCATCAGATACAAAACACAGGGATACAGATCTAGCAGTGGATGCTCCTGATATAAAACTTCATAATCAAGACTGAAGAAGAATGAGTTAATCCAAATCTTGTATACAGTTGCCTTATGGTCTGGTTTAATCTGGCATATGAACATTTTTAAGGGTATGTGTACATTATTTGTTTTCAAATTAATTTGACAGTTTTTATGTGTAATAAGGACAATTTAATTCTCTTATGGTTATTGCCTGTGATCTATTTCTCACATGCAGAGATATATTTTGTATCACATTGCATGGATTGGGATAGGAAAAAGGTTTACGAAAAATTTGTTAATTTGAGCAGCTTATCCTGCACCATTTGGTCATCATTTAGGTTCCATGATTTGGTCTGTTCTCGGTCAGATTCTCTAGGTCAACAATGTATGGCGTACAAATGATTGTAATGTGAATATGATTGTCTGATGAGATACATCTGACCTTGGCCCTTTTTTGAAGTGTGGTCAACATAAAGTTTTTATAGACTGCAAAACTTTTGCCATTTTATAATGGTGTGGATATGTCGTCATTGTGGTCTGTAGACATATGTTTTCCAGACAATAACTTGAGTATAAGTGTATAGATCTCAAAGA